ACATATTGTTCTTCAAGTGTGTGAAAGCAAAGGTGTTTTTAAAATGAATTAAACTAGGAATAATGTGCCTTATTTATCGTGTGGTAATGATCACAAGAGAGAGAAAGTTTCCATTTGCATATTTCCTTAGTAATGATAGCAATAAGTTCTTATTCAAGCAATTTCAAACCGTGCCCCTTTTCTTTTCAAGTTCAAACTTCATTTAAAATACACAAATACTTTACCTTATTTATTTTTCTTTCCAACCAAGAAAGTAAGTAAGTTCTCCTACAAGATTGATTATTTGTTGGACATCATGTTCCAACATTTTGCTTAATATTTAATCCATATCAAAGTCACAAGCGACATTTCCTTTATTACATAAGGTGTTATTTATACCACCCAATCCTTTCACTTGTGTGAATTCCATGAGGATCATAAGTAGTAACTCCAGAACTTTCAATGAGGTAGAATGTTGAAGCATCTTGTGGGACATCTTGTCTGTTTGGAAGTTTCCATAGATTTTTCCTTCTTCATTTTCCAGCTTTGATAAATTCTAAATGGCTTCTTCAGGTATGATCTTCTTCTTGTCATCCTTGGATATCATACATGATGAGGGTTGAGAAATCCACATATAGCAATTCCCTTTGGATCTTGAACCCTTCATTAACACTTATTGTTCTTTCTTGGAGATACTACATTAAAAAATTTTAAAGTTCACATTCAGACCTTGATCACATAGTTGACTTATACTGATCAAGTTCGCAGTCAGTCCTTCTACCATCAACATATTATCAAGGCTGGGGAAACCCGGATAGACCAATTTTCCTATGCCATTAATCTTTCTTCTTGCTTCGTTACCAAAAGTGACATAGCTATTAGAGTAAGGATTTAATTCTTCAAGGTAGCCTGATGTTAAAATCTTCATAGGTTATAGATTAGCCCGTTCAAAATCTTGTAGGTTATTTGGTTTGTTTTGGTAAAACCAAAGGTATTAAGCTCATATATTTTGGAACTTGAAGACTAACCGCTCCAAGATCCTTGTTCATAGAAAGGAGACTAACCGCTTTAAGCCATCGTTAGGAAGGAAGATTGGCCACTTCACTCTCAACAATATATTGAAGAAAAGATGCCAACGCCAATATTTATCATCTTGTAATATTTGGTTGAAGATCAACCATTATTTCCTTGTATAAAGGGGTTTGTGAGTCTTTCCCACTAAAAGCTCTCAATTATTATTAGGAACTCTCAAGATCAATTCTTGGGGACAAGACTAAGTCATTTTTTTACTAAACATGTATAACTCTTGGTTTCTTCTTCTTCCCTTAACTATTGAATTTCTGCAATTTACTTTCCACTGCTTAGTTTTTGAAAATGTTTTTAAACTCTGATTTAACTTGCCAAAAGTTTTCAAAAGTAAAATTTTCTAAATCACACAATTCAACCCCCCTCTTGCGTGTGAAGTCTCAAGTCTAACAAATAAGAAGACACAACACAGTGCACACTCAAGGGTAAAGAATAAGTGCTCTATTTAAACTTGGCAATAACAAAAGTTCGAATATCAAAAACCCTAATAAAGAAAGCAAAAATAGGAAGAAAGGAAAATATAGACCCTACCTTAAATAAATATAGTTGATCATCTACGTATCGCAGGTACCATCAAATGAAATGTCGCAGATGAACCTAATTAGAAAATCAATTCAAAAGAGCTCGCAAGAAAGAGGGAGGTCGATGATACATAAGAAGAAGGGCTCGAGGACAACTGTTTTGTGTCGTTCACAAGTCCCATAGCGAAAGGCCCAAGAGCAACATCAAGCAAAATAATAAAAAGAGTAGGTGATCCCCCATTCCACCAAGAGCAGATAATTACGCTCTTCCAACACTTCATTGCTGTGTGACTAAATTCAACAACCATCAGCACACCACGCATTCCCTCACACGGACAATTTTAGTCGATCACTCTATATGTGAAAGAAAACACATTATTTTAGATATTTAAATTCATTCTCTCTCACATTGTTCTTTATTTTCTCACTGACTTAAACATTGAAGTGTTAACCATGCAGGTGAACTACTTTTCCATTTTACCGAAGATTCACTCCACATATCCAAATTCTCATCTCAATGTCTCACCAATCACTTCCAATTCTTAAATGGAACAAACAAATAGTATTATAAGTTTAGATTTCTTCCTTTTTCAACAGAAATGAAAATTTACTATACTAATTTTTTTATTGTATTAATAACATATTTTTTTAAAGTCATTATATTAATTACATAATTTAACTTCTATACAATCAAAACATTAATGACATACTACCTCTTATCTTATGTGTCTGTCTTAGAAATTGAGAGGATATACAAAAGGAGAAACTCCTTATTCTTTATGGCGGTAGTATAGTAATAAGGTAAAATATTTTTTTAGTTATGTATATAAATATTAAAGTTTATTTTGATCATTTAATTTACAGAAGTTTTATATTAATTCTTTAACTCTTTAAAATATTTTATTTTAATCTTTTTATTTAATTAACGACAGAAAAAATTCAAAAATTAATCATTAAATTTATCGTTAATTAGATAAAAAGTATTAAAATAAAACATTTTAAAGAATTAAAAAATCAATATAACTATTTTTTAAATTAAGAATCAAAATGAACAATTGACCTTAAGCCTAGCAATAATACTACTACAATAATCCTAAAATCACACGTAACGTAAGCAACCTTTTGAAAAAAACAATTCCGCAGACATCATTGTGATCATCGTGGCAATATATATTTGTTTATCTTCATCACATCACTGCAACTTCCACGCTTCAAAACATTACCGCACACTCTTGCACTTTCCTTTCTTCTTCTCTTCTTCATCAATCTCTCTGAGATAGATCGAATTTGGATATGGCATCTGCTCAACCTTTCAGCCACGAATCTCTCATCCGCTATTGTTCTTCCAATGTCTCCGACTTCCCTCCTTCCCCAACTCATTTCAATCTCTCTCAGGTTTCATCTTTTATTCATTTTTGTAGTTTTTATCCATCTGGGTCTTCTGGGTTTGCATCAAAATTTGATTTTTTGTATTGTGATTTTGTAGTTGATTTTTGTTTGTTGTGAATTGTTTTAGTTTGGACATGGACAGTCTAATCCCACTTACTTGATGGAAGTTGGTTCAAATGGATCTACTGTGAAGAAATATGTTCTTAGGAAAAAGCCTCCTGGGAAATTGTTGGCTTCAGCTCATGCTGTTGAAAGAGAGTTTCTGGTTTGTATATTTTTTCATTGGATCTTCATTTCAATATGTTGAATAATCACTTGTTTTGGATTTGATTTGAAAAAGTTGTTGTAGAATGAATCTAATTGATAGAGCTAGTGTGTAGGTCCCGATTCGATTCTGCGGTGATAAGAATTGATTCTGTAAAATTGATTTTAGTTAGTCTTGAGTTGAATGTAAAATGTTTATGTTTGGATAAATTCATTCATATGAAAAAGAGATCAACAATAAATTCAAGTGTAAAAATCAGAATCTGGAGTCAAAAGTTACAGATCCTAGCATGGAGTTTGAATCAATTCCTGAAACAAAATTAATAGCTTATCGATATCACTCAAACATGTCAAAATCAATTTTATGTGTTTGGAATCACTTTTTGCTCGATATGATTCTCTCTCTCTTTTTTTGTTGGTCCTTCAACTTGCAGGTTCTCCAGGCTATAGGCAATAATACCAAAGTTCCAGTTCCCAAAGTTTTATGTTTGTGCAATGATCCAACTGTTATTGGAACAGCATTTTATATTATGGAGTATTTGGAAGGACGGATATTCTTTGATCCCAAATTACCCGTATGGTTTGTTTATATTTCATCTTTAATTTTCTCAACTGAAATTATCAGTGTGGTTATGCTACATGCAATGCAAACCTTTATATTGCGGCTATTTGCGCCGGATGCGGTCAAAATTATTACCGTGATGCAGTTGTGGAGACCTCAAAACCATTTTGTATTGTAGCTGAATTGTGTTACATGAATGTGTCAGGGTCTGTCAGCAGGGAGTAGGAGGGCAATTTATCGCGAAACTGCCAAGACCTTAGCTTCATTACATTCTGTTAATGTGGATTCCATTGGTCTTGGAAATTATGGGCGACGTAACGATTATTGCAAAAGACAGGTAGGTTCTTCGAGAGTGTCTGCTTATTTACGGTTAAAGTTATGCCTTGAAGAAGATTTTGTTTTTTGCAAATAGATATACTAATGGACAGTTTGCTTATTTTAGATTGAGAGATGGGGTCAGCAATATGTGTCTTCAACCAATGAGGGTAAACCTGCAAGCAATCCGAAAATGTTTGCTTTGATCGATTGGCTACGAAATCATATCCCTTCTGAAGATTCTTCAGGAGCAACAGCAGGTTTGGTTCATGGAGATTTTCGCATTGACAATCTTGTGTTCCATCCCACAGAGGTAAGCGATGCATTAAGTAAATTGATATGTACTTGATCAAAGTTTCGTTGGCTGAAAAACTAGGTCTTTTTTTCTTTGTTCTGACATTAATGTGTAGTTTTTTCTATTCGATCATAGTCAAGATTAGAGTATCGTAAATAACTATCATGTGAAATGAAACCAAAATTTATGTTGTCATATATGTATAAGATTAACATTTTGGAGTTTGAATAAAGGTCTTATGCCTGGTAAGTTTCATTTCTGCTGCAGGATCGAGTAATCGGTGTACTTGACTGGGAACTATCTACCCTTGGAAACCAAATGTGTGATGTTGCATATATCTTAATGGTATGTACTATGTACTATATTGTCAGCTTGTTAAAGTGAGCGTAAAACAGAATCATAGATACCTAAGCTATTGGTTAATTGAAATGACCAGCGTAAAATCATACATTTTTTTCTTCGACAGTCTTATATTAAAGATGTTGGGCCAGTAAAAGTACAGGAAGGTATGGAGCGTTCTGGATTACCAGCGGGAATTCCATCGCTACCAGAATTTTTGGCTGAATATTGCTCTCTGGCAGTAAGTGCTGTTACTATACATTATCAATTTCGAAGAAAATTCCTATAAAGAATTTTAACAAACGAGTTTTTGATGCCAGGGAAGAAAATGGCCTGTTGCTGAATGGAAGTTCTATGTCGCCTTTTCTTTTTTCCGCGGGGCTTCAATTTATGCCGGAGTGTATAATAGATGGGTTAAGGTATTTAAACTTGTTATAGATGCTTTTGTCCTTTAAGCTAATATTTAGGCTCTAAATTTTAATAAACAACTTAATTAAGCACTTGTCATATAAGTATGTATGTATAAGTTCTTTTTTAGTAAAAGATAAAAGAAAAACGAACTTTTTTTATATAAATAATAAACTGTTTTCATAAGCTATCCTAGATAGCTTATGGAAATACGACGCAAGTAGTTTATGAACATATAGTTAGTTGTTTCTATAAGCTCTTCTAGTCTCGCTAGAGTTTATGATAGTAGATAAACTCAAATAAGTTAATCCAAACATACCCTTAACGATATGTTGCTTCTTTCTGTTCAAATATAGGGCAATGCATCTGGTGGTGAGCGTGCTCGTCATACAGAAGTACTTGCTAATGGCCTTATCGACGCTGCTTGGGAATTTATTGAACGTAAATTTGTGCTTCCGGAGCGTCCTCCATCAGGTAGCTATACCGTTTGAATATATTAAGGGCTCAAACATTATCTAACATATATTTTGTTGCTTAACTCGAAGCTAATCATATTATTAAATTATTAGTACTACATTAATATATATTTGAGGCATTTTTCGTTTTAATAACTCAGGTGTAACTGCGAAAGAGTTAGTGAAGCACAATGATACGCAGGACCTCCCAAATGAAGGGAGGTTTGCTCTTAGGCAAGAGGTTATAGTGCTGAGGAACAAAATAGTTAAGTTCATCGAGGAACACGTATACCCTCTTGAAGAGGAATTCGCTAAACTTGCTCATTCAGAAGCACGTTGGACTATTCATCCAGCGGAGGAAAAGTTGAAGGAGTTAGCAAAGAAAGAAGGCTTGTGGAACTTATGGATTCCTGTATGCCTCTTAATTCTTCTCTTCTCTAATATCTTTTATCTGTATTTTGTCATTTCGGAAGCTTTTAAGATCTTCCCATCTGTTTGATATATTAACACTTCTTTAATGCAGGTTGATAGTGCTGCGAGGGCGAAAAAAATTCTATTTGATGGGAGCATTAATAACCTTTCTACTGATTCAAATGACTTGTTGTTGGGTGCTGGCTTAACAAATCTCGAATATGGATACTTGTGTGAGTTCATGGGCCGTTCTGTTTGGGCTCCACAAATATTTAACTGTGGTGCGCCAGACACAGGTAATATGGAGGTAAGATTTGACACGAGCCTTATAGATTTGCAAGGTTAATCAGATTTAACACTTTCTCTATCATTGTTGCATTTTTGTTCGATCGGCGTGTAACGTTAGTCTTGCATTTCAGGTTTTATTGCGCAATGGAAATAAAGAACAGATGCTAAAGTGGCTTATTCCTTTGCTTGAGGGGAAGATTAGGTCTGGATTTGCTATGACAGAACCACAAATTGCATCTTCTGATGCAACCAATATTGAGTGTTCCATAAAAAGGTGGGATTATCCATAAATTGTTTGATACCGGCACAGACGAAACCGACACTTGTGCTTACGCTTAATTTATTCATTTTTTCAAATTATTACCAGACTGTCATGTTGGTGTCGTGTCCGTGCCCGTCTCAGTGCTTCATTACCTATTTTCTTAATTTTTCTCCTTTCATAGGCAAGGAGATTCATATATTATAAATGGGACTAAATGGTGGACTAGTGGTGCTATGGATCCAAGATGCAAAATTCTCATACTCATGGTGAGTATTTAGTTGGAAGTTATTGCATTAAGAGTCAATATGCTATTTCATTTCGATAGAGATCAGATTGTGATTAAAAAACATGAACACAGGGGAAAACCGACTTCAATGCGCCGAGGCATAAACAACAATCGATGATCTTAGTGGATCCTCAGACTCCTGGTGTTCACATAAAGAGAGCTTTGACAGTGTTTGGCTTTGATGACGCGCCTCATGGACATGCAGAAATAGTATTTGAGAATGTTCGTGTGCCTGCTACAAATATCTTAATGGGCGAAGGACGTGGATTCGAGATCGCTCAAGTAAGTTAAAAAACCATTTTTTACTCGCTGATGTATGAAAAAGCATATATTTCCTTGGTTAGTGACATGCATCTTGCAGGCTAGGCTAGGTCCTGGAAGACTGCACCATTGTATGAGACTGATAGGCGCTGCTGAGCGAGGCATGCAACTGATGGCTCACAGAGCTCTTAGTAGGAAAGCTTTTGGGAAAATGATTGCTCAACACGGCTCATTTATTTCAGATTTGGCCAAGGTATTAGCATTTTGAAAAAATCAAAAACAAAACTCTTCGTCCGTTTCAATTTTTAGACGATCTACACTAACTTATATTAACTGTTGTTCAGTGTCGAGTCGAACTAGAGAAGACTAGATTACTTGTGTTGGAAGCCGCAGACCAGCTTGATCGATATGGAAACAAAAAAGCTCGAGGCATAATCGCAATGGCTAAGGTAGCTGCACCACAAATGGGATTAATGGTACTTGACATGGCGATCCAGGTGCATGGAGCGGCTGGTGTATCGTCTGACACTGTTCTATCACATCTGTGGGCAACCGCGAGGACATTGAGAATCGCTGACGGTCCGGACGAAGTTCACTTGGGTACCATCGGCAAGCTAGAATTAGAAATACAAAGAGCCAAGCTTTGAAAACAAAAAGAAAGTTGCTCGTGCATGTTTGGAATCACGGTGAATTTATTGAAGCTCCGAAGTATAACTTTTGCCACGAGGCGGCTCAGTGCCTAACTCGCCATGATTTCAAACACTGCAAATAAAAACTTGTATGAAAGAGGAATTCACAATCCCATTAATAAAGTGTTCTAAGGGGAAAAAAACATCTATACAACACTAGCAGTGTTATGAATTGCTATTTGGAAGCTCTATGTAATGTGTAGACTTTGATCACAGTAAGCTTTTCTGTTGCAATAATACTCTTTCTGGATTCAAATTCAAATATAAGCAAAATTAGTCATATTTGTTCATGGATCAAAAAATAATTAAATTCACATAACTTAATATTACTATTTTCAAAATGACATTCAATGAAATGAAACAAGTTCTCATACAAATTAAAATGAGGAGAAAAAATAGTATGTAGGAAATGGATTTATGTTTGTGATTATATCAAGAAAATTGAACAAGGTTAATCACTACTATTAATAATATAAGTGTAGTTAATTAATTTTGCTTATATTAAACTAGGTTATTTGCAACTCTTTTTTTAGTTAAAAAAGTCTTCAATCAGTTTTATTTCTTACTACATACTCCTAATATGGGTAGAAGAAAATCTAATTAATTTAACTCTATTTAATAATGGCATTTATAAAATACTTCTTTTTATTTTCATAAAAGGAGATCAAGAACATTAATTATATTTAATCATTTTAATAATTGTAAAATGGGTGTTGCTAATTGCACCTTAGTATTAATCTCAAACCTTAAATTTCCAAAAACACTATTTGTTCTGATTTCAAAATCTGGACAATGCACATATAGAATTTTGGGTTTTTTGAATTTAGGATTTTGAGTGTGTTTTCAAGTGAATATTAACTCTTGTAATATGTGGTGCGACCACATTTCAAAATTTGAACAGAACTATTTGCGTTTTGAATGAGCACATATTCTTTTGTAACATATGGATTTTAGAATTCAAATTTAAAAATCCAGGCAGAATTGTTTGTGTATTTGGTACATTTCGGGTGAATTTGAACTCTCCTGTAATATGTAGTGCTTTTGAATTTCATCAGCCGTTCCTTTTCCTTTCGCTTCGGTTAGCAATAGATTGGCAAACGGCAAAAAGAAACGTGTTTAGACACTTGGTAAATATGGTAGACATTCATCCAGTGGGTAGAAAGCAGTCTTAGGGAGAGGAAAACAATTCAACTTCAATTTTCTTCTCGGAGGTACAAGATAAGGTTAAAGTTGTTGACGTTTTTGAGTTATTTGATTGCACTGGGAGGTGATAGAAGTGGTGATTCCTTCTAAAAGGAATAAGCTGTGGAAAAGGTTTGAGTTTGTCTGTTTTCAAGGGGTGGAAGACACAAGGATTCTTGCAGTGAAGCTTGATAATGTTATCATTGATGGTAAGAAAATCCATACCAACATTCCTCGCTTTTTAAGAAATAGTGGAACTCCTTCGGTAAGAACATCTGGAGAGGTGAGAAGAAACACCTCTAAGAATTTTGTGGCCAGAAGTTTAGAGGAGTTAAAACCTTTGCAGAGGTGGTTGATATCAGGAAGAAGACAACAGTCGCCAGCAACGTAGGCGAGGAGGGTGAATAGGTGGTGTTGAGTTATATGTCTTCATGAGAAGCTGTTCTGAGGTTGAAGAAAACTTTTGTGGGTAAGTTGATTGTTGTATCCTAAAATTTGTCCTCTTCAATTTTATCCTAATTGACTTATGCTTCATCATCATATGCATATATACATGTCATAGGGTCCATGCTCATGGGATCAAGGGTTTTCTCTATGAAAAGAACTGCGAAAATTAACTCTTTTGTTAAGCGGCATTGTAAAGCAGAACTCGGGGTTTTCAACATTTTTATGTACTCTGCATGTTGTTCAAATCTATTCAATCAACAATTAGTCAAGTCATCATCATATCGAACTCTTATGCATTCCAACACGCTTTGAATTATGCATAAAGTCAGACGTTTCATTTGATTTGAGACAGTGCAGACATATTAGTATTATGCGTTTCAAGCTTAAAAATTCATAACTTGAGATCATAAAATGGTTGGGGAATGATTCTTCAGTCATTAGAACCATCTTGAGGTCTTCTTCATTTCATCTGTTCGTGTCGAAGGGTAATTTTGTAAGAAAGATTTTCTAAAGCGCAAAATACCCGAAATGCATTATACAGTGGATTTACTGGTTTTTTTATGTTTAAAATTCACAACTTCTGATTGGAAAATCATCTTCGAGTGCCTCTTAGAGCATTTGAACTGTCTTGTTATTTACTTCAATTTTTTTGTTCAGCTCAGAAGTCAATTCATTGAGGAAAATCTTCGAATGCACGAGTACTTTGAAGCTATATAGTGCAAAAACAGTGGAAATAATGTGTTGAATCGATATTTTTCAGATGTTCAAAAATTCATAACTTTCACCCGGTTCGTTATTTTCAGGTGGTTCTTTGAGCGAAAAATCCGTCTTGATTTTATCTTCAATCTGTATGTTTCAGGTTAGGAGGTAATTCTTTGCAAAAGATCTCCGAAAGTGTCAATTATCAGAGAAAATTGCATGCCAAAACTATTTTTTACCAGTCTATTTCTCGGTAATATAAAAATCATAACTCTCTCGATTTTTATCGTATCGGGATGATTCTTGAAGCGTGAGATCACAAATTTCGTAAGCTTCAACTTTGCTTCTGGGCCCAAGTTCAGATTGTGCTCCGAAGACTTCGATTTATGGTTCGCATCCGAAAGTGCGCGCAAAAACAAGCTGAAATTTTCAATACGGTGAAATAGGTCCACTATTTCTCGCCAATCGAAAAATCATAACTTGTTCGATTTTTATTGTATCAGAGTGATTCTTTCGATACGACGTCACAAATTTCATCGTCAACATTTTTGCTTCAGGGTTCGCATCGAGATTCTACATCGAAAGGCACAAGCTTGTGGTTTGTTCGCGCGCCATACACAAAATAAGTTGTAAAATTCTGCACTATGAATTTTTACATTGCGTTTCTCGTTGTTCAGGAGGGCATGACTTGCTCAATTTTTATTGTATCGAGACGGTTCTTTCAGCGCCAGGTCATAAATGTCGTCATCAAGAGCTTTCTTTCAGGTTACGCATCAAGATTTTGCATCGATTATTATGAGCTTGTGGTTTGATCTCGCGTTGTGCATAAAATAAGTTCAAAAATTCAGTTTGGAGTCAAGACTATATATTTTGAATTTCAAATTTTAAATACAAGGACACTTTCATTTTCACAATTCACAAGATCAAAAATAAAAATCCTCTCTCTTTTTCTCTCAACTTTTCTTCATCTTCATCAAGAACTCAAACAACAAAATTCACAAAACTCATCAATCTTCTTCCTCTCCAACCGAAATTCCACAAGCATCTTCTCACCAGCGTGTTTCTCCGCTTCCGTCTCTGGAAACCACCCGTCTTTCGTGCACACGACCGTTCGACAATCCAACTCCGGCCGTCTCTTCTGCATTTCACCGTGAACAGCTGTGGGCTTCTCCTCCTCTCCGATAGCATGCATTTTCTCGGTGAATACCACTCCCTCCGTCGCAGAAACTTTCGGACAACATATCCTCTTCACTTTTCGATAAATCCTCCACCATTTCTTGATTTTATTTCTTGAATTGACTGAATTGAAGTGAGAATCTAGTTGTTTCTTTGAATTGGATTGAGTTTATGAATTGAATTGAATTTTTAAAGCATGAGATAAACTTGATTCTTGATTTTATTGAGATACTTTAATTCTTGAAATCTATGAGGATTAATAAATGTGGAGTTGGTTAAATTTTTGTGAATTGATGTTAATTGTGTGGATTCGGTAATTTTTGCGCGTCACATAATTTGTGTTGTTGATGTTCAATTGAATTTGCACGTCGAATTTTCTTTACCGATGAATTTATGTTGAAAAATGATGTTGAATCCATGAGTTGAATTTTTCTTGAAACATTTGTTCATGAACCGGTACTTTGATGCGATTTTGGTATAAAATTCCATTATGAGTTTTGATGTTGTTTATGTCGATTTATATCAAATTATGTTGAATCATGAATTAATGATGATAATTTAGCTTGATTTCATGAGTTAATGTAACTTTACATCGTTGCTGATAAATTTGATTTTTCGACATTGAAAATGTTTTGATTCAATAAAATTTCATTAACTCATGAGTGCCGTTTTGATCTTGGAATTAAGACATCCGATACAATTTCATTATTTGTAACTTTTTCACCATTCTTAACCGATAATACTTGAACCGATAAACATGTATTTGTCTCCGTTTTCAATTGTTGAAAATGATTTTTATCGGTGTCGGTTTAGGTATAAGTTGTCGCCCGAAATGTGTAAACAAGGTGAAAATCGCCTTTACAACTTGTTTGAGGTTTAATTGATCATAGGAGAATCTATCTTAACTGATCCCCCACACTTTGTCTTCAACTTTCATTTGTGAAAGGTTGACGCTTTGATGTGATCTCATTATTGCCCTCTATCTCCTACCTCGATTCTTGATATCTTGGCTAGGTGTTTAGACGCTTATGACGATTCACTTGCATTCTGCTCTTGCCTCAATTATTTGATATCTTGGTTAAGAGTCGACACCTCTTTATTTCTTGCCCTGATGATTTGATATCATGGTTAAGAACCATTATTTCCCCCATTTTGCTTGCCTCGACGATTCAATGTCTTAGCTAAGCATCCCTTTATCCTATCTTGATGATTTGATATCATGGTCAGATACCCCCTTTCTTTATCCTACCTCAATGATACAATGTCGTTGTTAGGTATTCCTCTTCTTATCCTATCTTTGTGCCATGATACCTCAATTAGGTGTGTACTACTTGAGTGACTGGATACTCCTCAAGTTTTGTTTGTTTGTTTTGGCTTCGGCTTGTCTTTGCTTGATTCGGCCTATGTTTATGCTTCTCTCTAAACCTTCACCTGATGTTCTTTCCGTTAGATAG